TCGGGGCTGGCCGCCTGGCGGCATGCAGTTCCTCCGGCGGAGCAAAGCCCACAGCAATCGGGGGCGGGCCGAGGACTGACTCCAGAGTAAACAACACCCCCCCGCGCGCCCGGGCTCGAGGTGGGGGAGGAAGGAAGGGCGGAGGGGGCGCATCCCCGCCCTCCGCCCGCGCGCGGCGTGGAGGTCGGGATGGGCCGCAAGCCCAACTTTCCGGAGGAGAGGCAGCCTCGGGCCCTCGCGGGGGGGCCGCCCCCTCCCCATCCCATTCCTCGAGTCGCCGGCCTCCCCTCGTTGCCACATTCCGCGTTGAGTGAGCTCAGCTGTTAGCTTAGAGCAGCCTCTCTCCTTTTATGGTCAAACAGCCCGGGCAGGGCGAGGCTTTGCCTTTTCTCCCCCAGTTGTTGGGGCTCCGGCGGCGGCGGCGACTCCTCTCGCCCCTCCCCGCCCGAACTTCCTCAACACCCCTCTTGGCAGCTCCGGAAAGTTGCGCGCCGGCCAGAAGAGGCAGAAGGAGAGAGAGAGAAAGAAAGAAAGGAGGAGAGCCTCCCGGCCGCGGGGAGGAGGAGTCGCACCAGGCTGCGAGCCGCACGCCGCCTCCGCGCAGAGAGAGCGAGCCAGCCAGCCAGCCAGCCGGCGAGGAGGGAGAGGTCGCCGGGGCCGTCATACCCCTTGCTCAGTCCGGTTCCCCGGGGTCGAAGAGCGGCCGCCCTCTCGTTCCCTTTCGAAGCGGGCGCCTCCGGGACCCAAGGTACGCCCTGCTTCTCCCTCTTTGCCCTCTAAAAATCTCGCCCCAGCCAATTCGCGCTTCTTTTTTAAAAAACTGTGCAGGTCCCTCAGGCGCCTGGCTTTATTGGGGGGGGGAGCGGGTGCCACTGGTTTCCAGCCCCCTCTCCCAGCCGGTCACGGGTTGGTGGCTGTGGGTGTATGTGGGGGGGGGGGGTGGCAGGCCACGTTTGCCGACCTCCGGCTCGCCTCGCGCTCCTCTCCTCCCAGGTGTTCGCGCGGGCATCCCTCGCGCGCCCTGTCCGGGGAGCGGGCGGGCTCCCAGGTGAGGGGCGCGGAGAGAGAGCGAGCGGGTCCGGGGGCTGCGGCTCTAGGCGGCCGGGAGGAAGAGGGGGGCGGCCACCGCGTTTCCCTGGGAAGCCCGCTCGGTCTCTGTGGGGTTGACTCAACGAGATGTGGGGTGGACGCCCGGAGTGGGGTGACAGCGGCGCCTCTTTGAGGAAAAGGGCGACAAGCCGCGGTGGCTGGCTGGCTACCTCCCTGCTCTCTCTGGCGAGCCTCCTCCCCTGCTTCAGGGAACGGACCTCTGGCGGCGGCGGCGGCGGCAGTCTCCTCCTTTCTCTTGTAAAAGTCTGGCAGTTGGTGAAAACTGAGATGCGGACTGGGAGTCGTTGCCTGCTTTGCACCGAAGCAAGTCGTGTGCGCTGTGCCTTCGCCTCTTCTCCGAGCATTTTTCCAGATGTGTGCATTTAGGTTGGGTTGAGGGGGGGAATCTGCAAATTCCTGCGGGAATGCAGCTATGGTATGATCTCTGCTTTCTTCGCAGGGAGATATGAGATTTCTGCTTTTTTTGTTGTCTTTTAGTCCTCTGGTTTTCAGTGTGAGCTGCTTGTTAAGGACGCTAGACCCACTTATAGGCCTCGCTGTTACTTTTGCTACTGACTTTGTAGTACTTTCACAGGAAAGTACTTTTGTGCTGGACCTTTGTAAGACTTTCTTTTCTTTCTTTGTTGAGGCCAAGCCAAAAGGCGCAAGATAAGTAGTGGTGACTTGCACAAGGGAAAGAAATAAGATAATGTGTTACAGAATTCTCCTTGTCACTTTTGTTTCTCCTATTTGGAAGCTTGCCCAGTTTTAACCACAACAGCAAAAAGAGAGAGACTCTTCGGCCAGAGGCGGTATACCTTTGAATATAAAATGCTTTGGCAGTCACGAAAAGAGGACCGTGCCATGCTTGTGGCCTCCTTCTGTGCAGTGTCTTGACTGGCTTTTGTTTCAAATCTGATCATAACCAACATAACCTTTGATTGCATCCTGCTGTGTGATGTTGGATGTTGTAGTGATACTGGCATTCCCCAATAGGATACCCTCTAATTGTTTTGGACCACAGACTGATCAGGAATGATGGGAATTGTAATCTAAAACATCTGAAGGAGGACCCCTTGGAAAAAAGTGACAGGCAGGTCGCTTGAGGTCATAGTTCGAAATGGGTAGGGGTATCAAGCCAGGGAAAGCTGTGTTACACCATCCTCTGTCACTACAAGTTTAAAAGGGATAGTTTTGCTCACAGTAGAAAAAGCATAGCTGGATCCCCCCCACCCCCACTCAACCGTCACAATGTAACACAGATGATGATTTCAGTTCTTCCTTCCGCAGTGTGGTGCTGTACAGATGTGCTGGGTTACAACTCCCACTAGCCACCATCAGCAAACACATGTGGAGTACTCTAGGCTTGGGGAAGTTGCTCTATTATCATTGCAGAATACTAGAATGTGATAGGAGGCGATTGACCGAATTTCTTAAAAGTTCTGAAATGTTCTCCATTTGAAAGAGCCATGCTTTCACATATCTGCATCAATGAAAGCTCTGTACTACTTTGCCTGTCGCCTGCAATGACCGAGCCACCCTTTTCATTGCATGGAGGATAGGCACAAGTTTTCTTTCAAAATGTAAGAGAAATACTATGCAGTAATGCATACAAGCGTGATCTGAAGCTGGGACAGTGTAGGCTCGTTTTAAGAAACAGAACCTCTTTGCTCTGCTTCCCCATTTTACTCCCTGCTGGTTATAGCTCATGCTGTCTTCTTCGCACTCCAGTAGTTAAACTGTGTAGTGGTCCCTATGGCTGGATAGCTCAGTTGGTTGGAGCCCCTGAGAGTTTGATTCCTCACTGTACCTCCTGGGAGAGAAGCCAGCTTGGATGACGTAAGGAACTGTCTGTGTGGAAGTGCCCCAGACAGTCTTTCTAGAATTGGGCGAATGTATAAATCTCTTGGATTCAGTGTCTGGTTCTCGCAGACCTGGGGGTGCTCACCTGGTCTGCTCAGCTGTCATCTATTGTGGCTTGCTGGAGGCTACACAGTCCTTTAGATTTTGCATGTCCAGGCAGGCGTTAACAGGATGCTGAATCAAGCTTCTAGTACTCTGCGTTATGTGGTGGGTGGGCTATGCCTGGTAAGGTGAGTCATGAGTGACCACTCTGGAAATAATTCCTTCTGTATTCCTGGAAACTGTTTGGGAGTGGCAGGAGTTAGATCTAGTTATATACGGTCAGCGGGAGAAATAATAATAGTAATGGTTGCTGCTATTATTATTTACATTTCTTGGGGGTCTTTGTCAATGGGTTTTCCAGTTAAAATCTGCAGAAATTAAAACTGAGGAAGGCCTCAGTGATCTGCCGTGATCCATGCCTTAATTACTTCCTATAATTACTTCAGGGGGGGGGGCTCACCTTGAAAAACTATAGCAGCCAGACTGTTGGCTGGTATGTATTTTAGACACCATATAACATGCAGCTCGAACCAACTGCACTGACTTCTGGCTTGCTTCAGAGCTCAGTTCAAGCTGGTTGAGTTAATACTGGTTTTGTATGTTGTAATGTCCTAAGTATGCTGGGGCCAGGATATCTAAGAGATCACATGCTTTTGTATGCAGCTGCCTGCACTTTAAGGTTCTCACGAGCCCCCCCCCTTTTTTTTGCATCTTCCTGTCCTGAGAAGCTGGGTTGCTGGGTACCAGAGAGATGGATCCCCTCCCTGCAGTAGCATCCCAATTGTGAGCCGCCTTCCTGAGAGAACCTAGGCAGGCTCCATCTCTGCTGAGTACCAGATGGATAGCTAAGACTAAACATGGGATATTTGTGTTTATATGCCTGGGGATACAGATATGAATATCAGCACCTTAGGTGTCTGGGAAGTCCAGTCCCTCTCCCTGAACCAGCAGGTCCAATTACTGGTCGCCATGCAATGTGCACGACCGATGTTTCGCCAGTCACAGAAGTAGCCTGGTTGACACTTCCTTGCCTCCCCGCACAGCCGACCACTTCAGTGCGAAGGCGGGATGACAAGTTTTCCCGCTCAGCTGTTGAGCGGATGGCTGTGCGGGGAAGCGGGAAGTGCTGGCTGGGGTACTTCCATGGTTGGCATGACGGGAATGATGCCAGGCACGTCTGTCACATGGTGACCACTAATTGGACCTGCCAGTTCCGGGAGGAAGGTCTTGACTTCTCAGGCATCTGTGGTGCTGCTATTCGTATTTGTATATCCCCAGGGATATAAATATAAATATCCCATGTCTAGCTAAGACTGTAGTGTCACAAAGTGTTGCTTTTTAGAAAATGGTTCAGATTTGTTTATAAACAATGTTTGGGTGATCAGAAATTTTTTATTACTGAATCAATATAAGTAAACTATACAATGGTTTTAATTTTTGAATTTCCTTTTTTTAGGAGGTAAAATCAGGACATGTAGAGAAGGCCGTTTTAAATGTATATCTCTTTCCCACTATGATACAATAGTATTCACACACATTTGCCCTTCTGTGCCAGAGGTGGGAAAATGTGGTTGTCTAGGTCAGAGGTCCCCAACTCCTGGTCCGTGGCCCAGTGCTGGTCCATGGCCTGAGCTGGGCCAGGCCACGGAGATAGACCTCCCCCCACACCCCTGCACACACTCCCCCTTGCACAGCCCATTTGCGCCTGTGCGTGAGTGCACCCACACGAGCGCTGTGCCACCCTTTGTGCATGTGCACTAGCATGAATGTGCCCGCATGAGCGCCCCTCACTCCTTTGCACATGCGCAAGAGCATGCACACTCCTTTGTGCATGTGTGCGCGCACAGGGGGGTGCCTCACATTCCCCAGCAGGTCTGCGGGGCTAAAAAGTTTGGGGACTGCTGGTCTAGGTGGTGTTGTGCTGCAGCTCCCAGTATCTCTTATGATCGATTTGCAGGTGGGGGCTGATGGGAGTTGCAATCCAATAGCACTTAGACAGCCATATGTTCCCTCTCTGCATGTGTGCGTGTACACACACACACACACACACTGAAATGTGCTACCCTAGAAGTATTCTTATTTATTTATTTTAACATTTGCTCCGACTGACCAAATACTGGGACCAGCTCACATATTCTTTGTACATGTATTAATCCCTTTATTAATAGTTTTCATAATCTGATGGAGCTTGTCCATCATGTCATTGATGATTGGCTCTTCCACAAAAGTTACTGTAGAAAACATCATGCATTAGGCAATAGTTTCTGACATAAATCTGCATTTTGCATGGCTAAAGCCTGACAGTTCCTAATGGGTTGTATCAATTGCTGTTTTTACTACAAAACACTGAGTGGGCGTGTCTGTGTTGACTTTATTGCTTGCATAATTTGGTACAAGATGTGTTACGCGATTACAGTTATCCGCGGGAATTGTGGTTGACAGTGATTAACACAGTTCCCCTCCCTTCAACACTCTATATTGAAATAGGGACATAGGAACAGTGTCTTCTTTAAAATACCTTTGTACAACTTCTCCAGGAGCTCCTGGTAGTGAACAAGCAATTAAATATAACAATAGCTCTATTCAGGTGTAGCTAAAGCTGGAGCTGTGAACACACTTGGAGAGGAACACCCAGCCTCACCATGTTCTCCATTCTTCCAGGGCCAAGTCCGAAGAGAATGCAAGAGAAGAAGAGAATCTTCTTGCATGTAAGCTCTTTCCAGGAGCAAGAAACCAGATTTTCCAGGGCTCTTA